GGGTGGGTGAGTGAGTGAATTAATGGGTGGGTGGGTGGGTGAGTGTGCGAGTGTTTGTGTTCTAGTGATCTGCAGTGTGGTGTGTGAGTGGGTGGTTGAGTGAGTTAGTCAGTGGGTGGGTGAGTGTGAGGATGGTAGTTAATGGGTGAATGAGTGTTTGCGTTTTAGTGATATGCAGTGTGGTGCACGAGTGAGTGTGTGGTTGAGTTAGTGGGTGGGTGAGTGTGAGGATGAGTGTGTTCTTGTAATCTGTAGTGTGGTGCTGATTGAACACAGTGTGGTCGATGAGACGAAACAGTCAGCGTCTGGTTCACCGAATTCCTCAACGTGGGTGGATGAATCAATGAGTGACGTTCACTGGTACAGCCACCATTTGACAGGCGACTCGCCGAGTCCCACTTAGGGCAGCGGCTTTTGGCTAACCATCGAACAAAGACGGTCACCGCATCGCGCGCTTTCAGATGCGCTTGTGCGGCCGTCTGGAACGCTCTTCCTTCCGATGTTAGAGAGCGAAATATAAACTTTTAAATCTAGATTGAAAACCCCATTTCGTTAGAACTGATTATTGTGTTTAGCTTGTTACCCTTCCTCCCCGCACTCCTCGATTAGCAAAGTTGGCGACGTACGGTGCGAAAGAAGTTCACCATTCATACATAAGGCATGGCACCGCGTTCCAAGTTACAGTACCTCCGTGCGGCAAACGAGCGCGGGGAATTTTCACGAGCACCACCGTAAATCATGCCGCTCGCTATAAATACAGGAGTCATGGGGCCGGCCTCGAATGGAAATGCCAGTTGGAATGTCACCACGAATTCGAGTGAAGCCATTGTGTGCCGACCGCTGGTGTCACGCAAAGCGAAGGAGGGAGCCGGTCGGGCTTGCCGGACCTTTTTTTGACACGAGTCAACAACACTGCGGCCTTAAAATAAACATGGATAATTGGCGACGTTTCGGGCAATGGCCCTTGAGTGTGTTTAGTTGTTTTTGTTGTTGTTGGCTGTGCTTGTGCACCACTTCCAGCACAGCAGCAGCAGCATCATCACCACCAACTGTACGTTGAACTTCTTTCGCACCATACGTAGTACATATACTGGCAATCAACCCCAATGCTATCTCTGAGCCAGTGGAGGAAATCCACGTTCACACATTGACGTGTCGAGTGGCATTGCAGCCCCGGTCTAAGAAATGACACTGGGAGGGGGGGGGGGGCGCCCTGTCAAAGATTTTCCATCCTCGTAGCCCGGTGCCTGGACCCCTTCAGCCCGTGCGCAGTTGCACCGCCTGCGCTCCTCACAGCTATGCGACTGCTCACGACAGACGCCAATTTGCCATATAATTGGTAGCGCGGTGAGATCCCACAGAGTTTACTCGTGTTGGTGACCATGGGGAGATGGTGATAGGTTGGCTGGCCTCCTGCCTGGGATTTTAACTTTCCGATGCGGAGCTGCTCGCTAAACCAACTGTGCCACTCACCTGGAAAGAAAGAGTGAGTAAACGTCTCTACTCAGCCGGACACATGTGTGGAACGTGTCTAAAGTATAATAAAATGACTCGTCTGAACACAACCGATTGTAAAAAAATAGTGATGTCTTTCCAGGATAACCTAATAAACCAACATCATTCTGTTAAGCGGTGGCGCAGTGGTTAGCGCACTGCACTACGAACCCAGCCACCTGAACCGGTATTGGTCTTGGAGTCCCTCTCCCCACCCCTTCACCAACCCGCACTGATCAGGGTGGTGAAGTATGGTCAGTCAAACAACCCTCACGCTCGACGCGGCGTGGGGTGGCAGTAAGAGTAATTGTATAAGAATGGAAACATCAAATTCCAAGTTGGAAAATCATGGTTGGGCCATCGGCTGTTGGGTGGTAAATGCGCCTAGAGCCATCAGAACTTTTTTCAGAACCCCAGCCCAGAGCTCACGAGCTACACAGCCACTGTTAAACGATACCTGGTTAGGATTAAAACTAAAACAAGTGGTGAGCGGTAGTGCAGTGATTAGCGCGCTAAGCTACGAACACAGCGACCCGAGTTTGATTTCTGCTCACGGTCCACTGCCAGTGACGATTCATCTGAACCGGTTCTGGGCCTCTCCTAGGTCTACTCAGCCTTAAAATTAGTACCTGGTGCGATGTGCAAACATCGCCACGTGGTGTGGGCCACCCCCCGTCATGTGCGTGTCGGCCTTCATCGGGTGCTGGCAAACAGCACTTGCCTCAAAAGTTTGTTAAGGCTATACTGGAGATCTTTGTCTTTGGTAAGGATAACGGTATTCACGCAGTAAAGCTATTACTTTTTATCGCATTGGCTACAAAACAAAGCGGCCTAGGAACACACAGCACTATTGAAATGACAATAGGTAAGCGTCAACACGTTTCTTGCATCGAGTGAGGTTATGATCAGAATTTGTGACAAGAAGCGATGATGGGAGGAGGTAATTCCAAAGTGCCATATTGCGTGATGATAAATAAAAATGCCACCAAGATATCTTCTTGAATCAAAAATAGTGATATGGCTGGCAGATCGTGGCAATTTCTTTGCAGGGGTAACAAGTCGTTGACTCTTTGTAAGCGAGGCGTATTACACCTAAAACAACAGTCAAATAAATCTTTAAGCTTAAATTTAAAGTCAAGCAACATGGCGCTCTCCACGCGGTCGATTTGGCAGAACATTGCATTTGTTATCGATTAAAAGGAACGGCATCCTTTCTAAGCTGCGTCATCCGATATGATAATCATAGTAAATAAAATTGTTGAATAAATGTTCGCTTGTGATATTTTTTGGCTCACCTCGTTATTTTTTGTCTTCAATAAATTTAAATTAAATCTGCTTATCTGCGGCACACAGAGCGAACTAACCATTGAAATTCGGGCATAGACTAAATAATGAAGGTGTCAGCGGTAACGACGACAGTCCAGCGGAGTGACGGCGGCGGTAGGAACATTTGGCAGCAGCAGTGGCGACTGTATAGAAAGTAACCCCTGAAGGCCGACGAAGCAGAAAGTTCCTAGGGCCGACAATAATCTTCATCCGGCCCTGGTGTGGTGGTGGTGATGATGGTGGTGGTTGAACACGTTGGCGATGAGACGAGACAGTTTGGCATTCCCATACTTCTTCTTGGTTCTTTCGGTAAAGTCACGTAGAATGGAAATAATAAAATAATAAAAATAACACATAATAAAATAATTCTCACGACGTTTCGGCCACAACGCAAGCAGCCGTCCTCAGGTGGAGAACAGGTCTGTCGAGAATTATTTTATTATGTTTTATTTTTTATATTTTATTATTTCCATTCTACGTGACTTTACCGAAAGAACCAAGAAGATGAATCCCTGCAGTCACGAAAGCTTTAAATCTAAATATTTCCATACTTGTTAACCCCTTATCAGTGCCTACTTTATTCGGACCTTATTGGTCACCACGTGCTCTTATAAATCTCAATAATCAACCTACAAAGTCCAATCACAAGGGAGAAACACAACAAAAATAGACGAAACATTGTTCGCCCGTATTGAAACGGCTATACGCCGTATGAACCTGAAATCTCAATTTCCCTGTACAAGAATACGGGTATTCCGTATGGGTTGACAGAGCATGTATTCCTCACCACGGAATGTTGAGCAAGCGTTAGAAGAGTGAAAAGGAGGCGGTTACCGCCGGCATGAGAATGACTGCAGAGTGAATCGGTGACTGCTGGAAGTCGCCCCGAGTGTCTAACAATGACTTCTGTTGAGTAAAGTGAAGTAGGATTCGGTTGCTCCACTCCAGATACGAGAGCAGTATTCCCAACAGCATGGTCAACATTCACAGTACAATACGGGTCGTCCATATTTCTTGCGCCCCCTCCCCGCCCCCCAGTTAATTGGCCCCTAAATGTTTTCCACTTTGCATATTCATTTCTGTTTTAAATAAACCCTACTTTAAAAAAAAAATCTGTTTTAGAGAATGAATCGGGGGTCACAAGACATCTGGGGCACCATCCACAATAAATAAATAAAATACCCCAGTTTTACGATGCGTTCCTGAAACGCGCGACGACGAATATCGAAACGAGGTTCAATCAAAGCAATTTGCAGGGTGGGGGGCTGGAGGCGACGGCTGACAGGCGGCGGATAGGAGAATCTTGAATCATCACATTTAATTACACCGGAGGAATCCGATGAACTATAAAGCTCTTTTTCCACAGATGTCCAGTAGTTGCCCTGTCTGTCTCTCACTGCCTGCTTCCCCTTCGCTGCTTCTGACCTCTCACTTTGCCCGTCCTATTCATTGACCCGAATGCCCAACGCTCTGTCCCAGTTTAACACGGAGGCTTTCGCGACCAAAATATCATCCATAATAGAGTTTTTTTTTGGGTAAGATCGCGCGAATATATAAATGTGTCGTTAAAACCCGCCACCACCCGACACAGCCAACTAGTAAGGGTTGTCACGTAAACAGAACGTGGCCAATTCGTCACTAGTACAGCACACCGGTTGTGTGTTGCAGATCCAAGCCACAACATTTTAAATCTGAGTACCGTAACGTTTCGCCAGTAATTACAACCAGCTTCATCAGGCGACAGCCAGATTTGTGGAGAAGTCCTCAACCTGCTTCGTTCCTCTGTCCCACACATCTCTCTCCCCACGTGCGCGCGCGCGTGCGGAGCGGTAGGGTTAGCGGTTAGCGCGCTGCGCTACGAACCCGGCGACTCGAGTTCGATTCCCGCTCACGGCGAACAACACCGGTGACGAGACATTTATCTGAACCGCTTCTGGACTTCACCCAGGTCGAGTCAGCCGCGAATGAGCACCTGCTGCGGTGTGTAAACATCGCCACTCGGGAGACAAAGGCGACCGGGAGTGGTGCCGGCAACTTGACCCAACAGTCTGTTAAGGCTACACGGGGCGGCGGTGGGGGGGGGGGGGGGTGGGTCTTTGTGTGCGCTCCTGTCCTCACCCCCCCGTACGCCACTCATTCAAACCCCACGAGGTGTTCGCCACAGCCGCTCGCCTTCCTACCTCAACGTCGTTCCCCTCGTGCTCTTCTGCGTCTCCACGCCTGCCGCTGCCGCTGCTGTCACCACGCGCTATTGTTCCGACCACGCGACGTTGAGCAACCAACGCGGCTAGTTGCAAAGTGGGCCAACTCGCGGCGTAATGCTCACCCAGGACACGTGCAGGAAACTGCTTGACGGAGCAGATAAGGAACTGGGGGTGGGGTGGGGGGGCAAGCAACACGCGTGGTGGCTCACACCGTTATGCGCACAAGCCCCTACAGTGTTTGCGGTGCGCTGGGCAGCATTACTACGATCGGAGTGTAACCCTATATTGATCTATACTGAGAGCTGCTAAAAATATTGTCTGGTTGGGTGGGGGGGAGAGTCCGCTGTTGGGTTGGGTTGTGGCCGGAGGTGGCGGGCGGGTGGGGAGGTTGATGTGGGGGGGGGGGGGGGTTGAGAGAGCGAGAGGGGACATGGTGCGCGCGTGCGGGCGTCGACTGATTGACAGCGTGTGTGTGAGTCGTGGGGGAGCGGTGGCGCAGCGGTTAGTGCGCCGCGCTGTTCATTTAATTTAATTTATTTGGTATAGCCCTGTGAGCCATTCGGCTCTTGAATCGGGTGCAACCACAACAAACAAAAAACATGAACAAGAAAAACATCTTAAAGTGACTATGTGACTATGCGCAAACAGAAAAATCCAGGAAAAGACAGCAAAATCTTCCAGAAAAAGCACGGTACACCAACGATGTGTGCAAAAATCCCAGTGGGATGCAAGTCAAACAACAACAACAACAACCACAAGACAACTTAGATTAAAGCCATCAGTCTAACTCCGTACTACAACAAACAAAAATGGCCAAACCAAAAAACATTTTCGAAATTACCAAAATAAGGCCATAAAAGCAATGTAACAGTGATCATAGGAACTGTGACCGAAATTTCACAATAAACGACATAAACAACATGTACCACCAAACCCTGTAGCCATAGCTGGCTGCATGAGTCACTCCACAACAGCAGGAGCATCAGTAGTAGTATCAAACATCATCGTGTGCCGTTCTGGCCTTCGTAGGTGCCTCGCTAGCAACACTTGCCCCCAAAAGTATGCTAAAGGCTATAGTGGGAATCTTTGTCTTTGTGTGCGTGGGGAGCGGTGGCGCAGTGGTTAGCACGCTCTGCGAAAAAAAAACTGGTTGTGGCACAGCCTAGAATGCTTTGGTGTGATCATAACCCCAGCACATTGACAGATCGAGGCAGTTGGGTGTGTGGGTGTGTGTTACTGCTGCCACTCACCACGTCCCCACACAGTCCTAATAGATAGTGGCGAACAAAACTTGCCTAAACAACAACGAATGTATGGATGGATGTCTGTTGAACTTATTTCGCACCGTACGTAGCCAACCGTGCTAATCGGAGGTAGAAGGCATGAGAGGACCCGTTTCTCTTCGACTCAGCTGTGTGTCAGTGCTTGAGAGAGATTTCGTGAGGGCAGAAGCCTGTCCGTGCCATAAAAAAAACATGACAATTGATACAACTGGATATCATCATGAACAACACGAGCCAGGGGCTATCCTCTGCTGGATGAACGCCTCTCCAACCCAATACCATCCCTCAAAATATCGCCAAGCAATAATACTTCTCGCCCCGTTGTACATCCAGCTGGTCATTCCATTTTCCCTCTTCCTCGCAGTGTCATTCCAAGCAACGATTATCCGAGAAACTGCTCTTTGTGTATTTTCAGCTATTGTTCCAGTTTGTTTAATGGGTCTGATCCATGTTACAGTAGGAATTAAAAGGATGCACGATGTTTTTTTGTGTTCAGTTTGTTGTCCTTCCCCCCCGCGCCTCCCATTAGCACGGTTGGCTACGTACGGTGTGAAAGAAGTGCAACATACCATATTCGAGCAGGTAATATACACCGATGTACTGATATATTAATATACAAGCTAAGGGTGCAACCCTGCAATTGCTTGCTCACGTCACTGCTGGCAGAAGGTTCTCCACTCGAGTGACCGCTAGAGAGCCCCCTCTGGATGGTATTTGGCCTACTCTTCCCCGCTGGCCAGATATCTTGGAAGAGATTGGATTACCCACACTTTACCCCACCACACGCAACCTGAGAAAGGACTAACTGCGTGTATTTTCTAGGATGGCAGAGGCGGGAGGATGTAGGAAAACTTGACCCATTGTTTCAACTGCCACGCGGGGAGATCGGATAGACCCGGTCATCTCTGCAGTGCCCTGCGAACTAGGGCTGAACGATTTGGGGAAAATATCTAATTGCGATTTTTCTGAAAGATATTGCGATTGCGATTTGATTTGCGATTACATTTTTTAAAGTCAAGCTTCAGTACAATATTCACTGTGTAATAGATTTAAAACATGTGATGGAGCATTACCACATGATACCATCAAAATATGAATTGCTCTATATATTATAATTCAAGGATGAGAACTTAAAAGATATGAATTGTTTCCAACATGTATTTATTAAAATGTTTTAATTGAAATAGAACAATCAAACATAGAACAATTGTTAAGTTAAATAAATAAAGTTCTAATAATAAAAAATAAAACTAAATCCAATAAGAAAATCGATTAATCGTTCAGCCCTACTGCTAACCATTACACCGTTGTGGCAGATGTTTCCATACATAGCCAGGACGAAACATTTGAATATAATTTTTTTTAAAGCGCCGATTCTCTCCGTTATTCTTGCATACGATGGTAATATGGTTCAGGAGTATCAATGCTAGTGTTGAGGTTCTGCTGGCCACGACGACAGGGCTTCAGGAGTTTGTCCGTGTCGTTTGATCTGTTCCTGTTCCTCCTCCGTTGAAGAAGCGCAGGAATGAGCACTGAACGCAGAACCGTGGCCTGACAGTGACCCACATGCGTGTGCAATCGATGCGTAAAACAGGCAAGATTTGCCCAGACGCGAAGACATTGCGCGTCATAGCTAGGGATTTCCGTTCTAGCGGTGGCGCCGATGGTGAATCACGCACGCGGGCGTGTGTGAGCGCGTTTCCACATTGGCGATAACACAATTCTGCGGAGGGAGCTGGTAGGAACGTTGGGTTGCTCGGTCAATGGCCAGGGTCAACGGCGGCGTGGTGTATTCCGCAAATATGCCCGACTATGAGGGCGGGCACAAGCCGGCGTGAGTAGGTGAAACGTTGAGTTTTATAAGGGCACCACAGGGTGACCAGCCCCTCCCCACCCAGCCCCACCCCTCCCACCCGCTACCCAGCCCCACCCTCCCACCCAACCCCACCCTCCCCACCTATCCCCTCCCCACCCTTCCCTCCCCACCCAGCCCCACCCTCCCTACCCAGCCCCTCCCCTGCACGACGGACACAATAATCCCCTGTGGGCTGGTGTAACCAGGAGGTTCCTACCAGTAAAACATGCGTGTGGTGTGGGTGTATGTGCGTTCCCCATCAAATTAATTGACGAACCGCTTACAACGCACTTCAGCATCGGGGAGGCGGAAATTTATTATTTTGAATGCGAACAAAGCTGTACCGTACACTCTGAAACATGAGCAATAACAAAACATCCATAGATTCTCTTCTGTACCAGGTGATGCAGGGGATATTTGTGTGTCGTGGGGCCATGGTCACGGAATGCGTATCGCATCTGAACGGAGCCTCCTGGCTCTCCACTAAGTCAACTCAGCCCAAAATTATGAGTCGGTCTACTCGGTGTGATGATCTGATCAACGTGAATATTGGGAGGCAGGCAGGCCAGTAAGGCGTGTTGCTGGCCAACACATACACTGTGGGGTGGCTTGCCACCTTATTAGGCGCTCGCTAACCGATTTTTCACAAGTTTTGGGGTGGTGGTGGTGGAGAAGTGGTGGCTGGGTGTCATTCCTGGATACATCATTAATGCCAATTGATATTGAAACCTGGCCCAGGCGAAGTTCCCATATTTGATCAACAGATGCAAACTACAACGGAATTTTTTTTTCCTGCGTAGGCTTTCGCGACCAATACTATTCATAATAAAGGTTCTTTTTGGGTTAGTTCGCGTAAATATATATGTGTCGTTAACCCACCACCACCCGACACAGCCAATTAGTAAGGTTTGTCACGTTAACAAAACGTGGCAATTAGCTATTACTTCAGCACACCGGTGTGTTGAAGAGTAAACCCACAACGTTTAAAATTCGAGTACGACGTTTCACTGTTGATTACAATCAGCTTCATCAGGCGGTTTGCCTGATGAAGGTTAACAACACATTTATATTTACGCGATATCACCCAAAATAACCTTGATTGTGAATAAAAATGATAATAATGTTCGTATGTTTCATTATTCGGTAGCGTGTATTTTCATCTCAAAATGTATCTGATTGTTATTGTTATTTTGTTTATTTGCACAAAGTTACAGAAGATATTTTGTTTGGTTCTTAAACGATAACCGGTCAGGTGGCTGAGCGGAAAAGCGAGCGGGTTGCAATCGGAAAGTTGTGAGTTCACATCGTGGTTGGGGGGGGGGGGGTTACTGAGACCATCAATCCTCGTGGGTTGATAAAATAAATAACACTTTGTAATGAAGTCAACAACGGTTGTATGTATTTTTCGATTTGAAGCTTTCGTGACTGCAGGGATTCATATGATTGGTTCTTTCGGTAAAGTCACGTAGAAGGGAAATAATAAAATAATAAAAAGAAAACAATAACAAACAATAGAAACGTCGTGAGAATTTTATTGTTTTATATGTATTATTTTATTATTTCCCTTCTACGTGACTTTACCGAAAGAACCAAGAATATGGTTGTATGTATGTTTACATTCGTTCGCACCGTACGTAGTCAACTGTGCTAATCGGAGGTGCGTGGGAAGGACAACCACTTCATAATCGTCGTACTCAAATTGTAAATGTTGTGGCTTCAACACACCGGTGGGCTAAAGCAGTGAACTATTTGTCTTTGTCAACGTGACACATTTTTACTGATTGGCCGTGTCGGGTGGTGGAGGGTTACGACACATTTATAAATAACGCGATCTAAACCCAAAAACGTTGATTATGAATAACATTGGTCGCGAAAGCCTACGTGTTAAAAAGGACAACCACTTGTTGTCCTTCCCCCGCTAATCCTGCCATAGAAATGTGGAATTTCCATCACTGGCTCAGGGCTGTGCCCAGGTGATGAGCACCACCTAAATGCTCTCGTGAGCTAGACATCACTCTTGACTTACAGAGAATAATAAT